GAATAGTGCTCACATACACATACATGTGTTCTTGTTTGTTTTTAAGTTTCGCTATAGGGTGCTTGTGCTTGACAGAAAGAGGGAACGTGGGAAATAACTCCTGGGGGAGGGGGTCTTCCTTTTCCACCCTCTTCTCAGAATGTTGGGCATGCATACACATGCACCAGGGGTGTTTTTCAAGCTGCCAGGTCCAGGTTTCAAACCACCAAGTTGGCCATGTGGGATCCAGCCACCTTAACCACCTTGCCACAGACTGAACACATATATGTGTGTTTTTGTGAAGTTTAGCATATTCGAAAAGTGGGTTGAGTGAAATAACCTCTTGAATGGTGAGGACTTCCTTTTTCTACCTATTCGTATCTACTCTGCACCAATAACATTGGCAACCAACTGTGTACCACCGCAGCCAGGATACTGAAGGAGTCCTCTCTGTCAGAAGCCATCATATAGGGCCAGCCTGGTAGCCCAGGGAGCTAGATGGGTGACTGCAGTTTGAGTCTTGGTATCAGTGGCTTGAAAACTTACTGGGCACATGTGCATGTGTTCCCAAAATCCCAAAAGAAGGGAAAAATGGAAGGGAAGGCATCGCTATGTGGCTATACCCTGTGTGTGGAGGGTTATTCCTTCTCTCTGTGGTGAGCACATGTGCCCTTCGGTGTGTTTTATTTATTTATTGGAGAGATTTTCACTATAGGGCGCATGCACTCGCCAGACAGAGACATAGAGACAGAAAGCGAGAAATCACCCCCCGGGGGAATGGTCACGCGCAATCCCTTCTCCTCCATTCTCCTCTTGGGATCCTGGGCTCGCACGCACACGCACATGCGCCCAGTGTGAGTCTTAAGCCACCGGGTCCGGGACGCGAACCGTGGTCGACTACGTGGGAGTCCAGCGACATAGCCATTAGGCTAACTGCTGGTTCCCCTCTTCAGTGTGTTTTTAAACCACTGAGAATGGTACTTGAATCTTACAGTCAGCCATCTGGGATCCAACCACCTTAACCAGCAGGCTGTGGGCTGCTCCTGCCCGCTGTCCTGTTAGCTTTTTAAATTGTGTGTTTATGTATGTGCTTACAAAAATTAATTTTAAAAAGTTGCCTCTTACAGAATGCTCTCCTGTTCAGAATATATACTCTTTTTAGCCGCTCTGAATCCTTTAAGATTCTGAGAACGATATCATTTGAGGATGTAGAGTCAGCAGAATGCTATGAAATTGCTGAGGAGGTAATGATTTCTAATAGTAGTAGTGGTTGATGTTATGCTTAGTTGCAAACACTCATTTTGTTGTAGTGTTAACAAATGGGGATTTTTAAACACATGGCAGATTAAAATGTATTTCATTTCAACATCTCAGATGTATTTAAGTATTTCGTTTTCCCCTGTGTTGTCAACACTTTATGCTGTGAATTGACTGCTCCATGCTTCTCTGCAGCTTTTCAGTTGAGTGATGTTTCAGATGTTTCCGTGTTCCCCGCCTCCTCCTTTTATTTTGTACTGCATGCTTATTACAGTCCTTAAAGAGTGTGCAACAGCTGCTCTGATAATAGCAAAAGATACCACCTGATCATCTTTCCTTGTACCTGATTACAAGGTGCAATGATTAATTTGATTCCACACACAGTCTTTTCTTATCTCAACCACCAACTTCTAAAATTAAGCCAAAACGTTGAAGCTTGAAATGGAGATCGAATGTTGAATAAGTTAATCCTCTAGTCTTCTGTTTCCCAATTAAAAAGCATGTAGTTTGTACCCTCTGAAAGTCAGTATGTTACTGTGTGAAAGTACCTTTGGCATTGAACCTGTCGCCTGACATACTCACTAAGGTTCTTCACCTTACTAAGTCTGCTTCCAAATCTGAAAAAGAGGATAGTATCTGCCTCATAATTGTGACAATAAATGATGAACCCCATAAAAAATAAAACAAAAATTAAAAACTCCAGATTGCTAATAGCAGCTACCATTTGAATACCTACTATGTACCAAATACTCTTATTGCTTGCTCTGCGTTCTAGAGACAGTTTTTAAAAAGTAAAATTCAGAGCTGTCAAGTTCATTGTTTCATTAACTTTTTTCTTTGGACCATAAGGAAAGCTATTTTATGTAAATTGTCAGTTCTACAAACTAGAACAGTAATACTATTTTTTAAAGAATTATTTTATTTTATTTAACTTATTTATTTATTTAAATTTGACCAGAGAGGGACAGAGCCAGAGAGAAAGTGAGAGAGCAAGAGTGAGAATGAGAATGCAAGCCACCAGGCCCGGGACTCAGTGGTTGGCCATTTGGGAGTTCAGCGCCCTTAACCACCATGCCACCTGCCGGACCCTAGATATTTCTATGCTGCATGGAAGACCTCATACCTATAGGATAGGGACTAACGGTGTCATCCACAGAGAGTTTATGGTAATCACTGAATTGTAGTTTTCGATTGTTTCTGACTTAGGAGAATGGAGTTGAGTTGAAATAGATTGACAGTTCTCTCAAATTTGTACTCTTTTTTTTTTTTCCCCCCCTATAAGGTGAAATACATATGACTAATGCCAACTTAAACTTATTTTTACCCTCTATCCTTGAATTTTTGTGTTATTCCTTTAATAGCAGATACTTATTATTAGTGCATATCCATTTGAAGTTCAAAGTTTCTGTTCTTTTTTTCAATAAATACTTTTTAAAAGTCTTTAAAACTATTTTGTACTTCTTAGGACATTTTAGGAAGTAGAGAGAAATTGATATCTGCTGGCATTGTAGTTGGTCATTTACAATCTCTGGTAACATCTAAAAAGAGAACCGTTTATAGGATTGGAGGTAGGCTTTGTTTTTAAGGTCTACATTATATGTTTGCATGCCTCTATAGAACGTAAGAGTTTGGGTTCTCATTTGGTAACTCATCACTGTGAATTCCACTTTCCTTTCTTCTGGAGTACCTTTTATATGTTTTTTTTTTTTTTTCATTCATTGTCCAGGCATTTGATGAATATCTACCATTATCAGGTCCTTGTCTTTGATATTGAGGGTAACATGACCTGTGCCCTAGAGAACCTCTGTTCATGGAATCATTTGTGTAATCAGAAAACTATAAACAGGATTAAGTACTCAAAGATACCAAAAATGACCCGTAAAATTAGTGAGAGTAAAAATAATTCTACTAGGTGTGATGAACAAGGGCTGACAAAGGCTAGACCTTGAGGAAACAAAGGTCCGAGATATAGGGGAAGAGCTCATATTACTTTGATTAAGCAGCTGTATTGCTTATAAAGGTATTCGTATGCTTTTCTTTTCACTGTTTTATTTTTTACTTAATTGTTTTGCACCTGCAGATAACTTCTAGAGGATTGGCTGGGGCAGTGAGTCATCACAGCGAGTGGTGGTGAGCTAGGGACTTAGGGACCACAGCGCAGCTTTTGTGTGTTGGTATTTGGAATTAAGTAAGAGAATCAAACAATTGGGGAAATAGAGAGCGGATGGTAAGCTTGTGTGCCTGTCAGTGATGAAGTCTTTTAGGATTCTGCTGTTTGTTTTAGAGAGATTTTTACTACAGGGTGCAAGTGCTTACCAGAGAGACAGAAAGACAGAAATTGAGAAATCATCCACCAGGGAGGATGCCATGCTGCAGTCGTTTCTTCTCCATGCTCCTCTCGGGATTTGGGGCATGCACATGTATGTGCCCGGTGTGAGGTTTAAGCCATCGGGTCCAGGACTCAAACCATGGTCAACTATGTGGGAGTCCAGTGATGTAACTACCACACCATCTGTTGGTCCTGGATTCTGCTGTTAATAGTTGTGTGATTTTGAGTGTTATTTCTTTCTTTGGAATCCACTTTCTACTGCTTTATAATAGGATTGGGGGCCGGCTAGTGGTGTGGTGGTTGGGGGTGCTAGACTTCCCACATGGCTGACTGCAATTCAGGTACTGACCTGGTGGCTTACATTTTTCACTTTCTCTGTCTCTCTCTTTCTCTGTCCCTTTCTGGTCAAATTAAATAAATAAATAAATAAAGTTAAATAAAATTATTCTTTAAAGAAATAAAACAGGATTGGTATAGATGGATATTTCCTGTTTGTTGTCCCGTAGAGGGGGTAAAAAAGGAGAAAGTGACCAAATAAGTTTGTGAACCCAGGGTTAAATAAAGTTAAATAGCTTTCTTTCCTTCACCCTCATGTATGATGGCATATGGATTGAATTCCTGGACTTTTGGCCTGCCCTTCTGAGTCAAGTGAGACTCACTAATATGTGTCTAGCTCTACCCTTTTCCCTGACGGGTTAGTGAAAAGATCATGGGCTTCAGAATCAAACATACCTGTGTTTGAGTCCTGACTGCTGTTTATAATAGTAGCCGCGTGGCCTTAGGTAATTTTTAAAAAATTTTCTGAACTGACCTCCTCATACATAAAGTGGGAAAGGTAACACCTCTGGAGCTGTAAAGATTAAATGATAGCCTATATAGAAATACCAAATGTTGGTTTGTCTATAAAGGTATACCTTTTGCCAAAAAAGGTAAAGCTAAGTCCTACTAATTTCAGAGTTGTTATAGAGTTCAGTGCTTCATAACATGTTAATTGATATCCTGCCTTCATGGGGTGTGCAAAGTGGGCTGTTTGTTTCATTTATTCTTACAATTATCCCCCAGAAAGCGAAGTGTTCCTGAGATACCACTATCTTCTGCCATCCGCGTGGCGGGCAGCACTCTCCTGGAGACTCAGTGCTTGATAAACATCTGAGAATTTTATCAAAATAGTGGAATGAAGGGAGATGTGGTTCTACCTGACATATATTTTACCTCTTTTATTATAATCCTCGGTAGAAGTCAGTAAACTTATCAATATTAATTTTTAATTCCTTCGGTTACCCAAATGATTAAATTTCAAGTTTGAAACTGTTAGGATTGAAAATGAGCTGGCCTTTAAGTAAGCCAATAAGGAGAGGGGTTGTAATAAAGTTGTCTAATATTTAAATTATGTTGCTAGAAGACTAATGCTTTACATTTTGTTTTTTTCTCTAAGCAAATGGTTATGAGCCTTAGAGTTTCTGAGCTCCAAGTACTGTTGGGCTACGCGGGGAGAAACAAGCACGGACGCAAACACGAACTTCTCACAAAAGCCCTACATTTGCTAAAGGCCGGTTGTAGTCCTGCTGTACAAATGAAAATTAAAGAACTCTATAGGCGGCGGTTCCCCCAGAAAATAATGACGCCTGCGGACTTGTCCATCCCCAACGTACACTCAAGTCCTATGCCAACAACTTTGTCTCCATCCACCATTCCACCACTCACTTATGACGGGCACCCTGCATCATCACCGTTACTCCCTGTTTCTCTTCTGGGACCTAAACATGAACTGGAACTCCCACACCTCACATCAGCTCTTCACCCAGTCCATCCGGATATAAAACTTCAAAAATTACCATTTTATGATTTATTGGATGAACTGATAAAACCTACCAGTCTAGGTAAGATTGATGTGGAATGGCATTTGGTTACTTTTGCGGGATACTTTTTCATTTTAGACTTTTAATTTGATCCAGCTTAATATTCATAATGAAATTTACATTTGGTAGTGGCATCCAGATGATAGTAAGGATCTTTCAAATTTACATAAAATCAAATATATAAAAACTTTTAGACAGAAGGAAGAAAATGATGTGATGGTGGGTACTGGCAGCAAATACTAAAGTTTGCAAGTTTCAACCTTTAGAGGTTGCAGTCAGCTCTCAATTTTCAGGAACTGATGACATTTAATACAAAGGACTGAGTAGTTTTGATTATTTAAATGAGTGAATGGTTTTAATTATCATAAGAGATCTGAGCTTTGATGTATTTAAGTTTAAATAAATAGTATTTAACTTTCATTTGATTTTTTTTCCAAGTGGATATGTGTGCTTTATAGGCACATGCGTGATCGTAGTTGTATAAAATGAATGCTTGCAATTTTATCTGCTGTATTTCCCCATTTTTGATTAGTCTAGCATTTAGAATTTGGTGTATTAACCAACTTGTAATTTTATTGCTATAATACTACCTTCTTTAATGTAGAATAAAATTGACCCTATTGTGCTCTTTAATGCATTTGATGTAATATATTTAGAATATTAGACTTCCGAATGCTGTTTTTTGTTATAAATCAGTGGTTGGCAAACTGGTTGGCAAGCTAATTCCAGTTTGTGGCTCATTTTTGTGTAACTCTGAGCTAGGAAACTTTTTTTTTTATATTCCTAAAGAGTTGTGAAAACAAGGAAAAAACCAGGCTTTTCAAAAGACTGCGTGCCTGCAAAAGCTAAAATAAAATGTTTACTATCTGACTCTCAGAAGAAGTTTGCCGATAATGGTTATAAAGCATTAAACATTTCACTTTGAGGGATTGGTGAGTGATGAGACCATTTTTGAGAATTTCTTGAATATTTATAGAAATTCTGTCTTTGAACTGGGAAGTGTTTGTTTTTAATGATATATAGCACAATTATCTGAGTAAATGCAAGTTATAAGAGTCATTTTAAACAACAAGAACTTTATATCACAATATTTTTTCAAAATGGCCAGAGCAACAAAACTTAATACTTGTCGAGAATCTATCACAACATATGCTTATAAAACTTACACATGTTCTTTGTGAAAAATGAAATTGTCGGAGTTCCTTCCTTGTTAATTTAGTGTGCATGCATGTACAAGCAAATTATGGCTCCTGTTTTACATAGAGGACATTGTATACATAATAGTGTGTTTTTCCTTTTGTTCTTTTTGTTTTTAGAGGGTTTTTTTTTTTTTTTTTTTCTATAGGGCACAGGGCGCATGCACTTGCCAGAAACACAGAGAACTAGAGAGACAGAAAGCGAGAAATCACCCCCCTGGGGGGTGACCACCCCACAGTTCCTTCTCCTTCACTCTTCTCTTGGAGAGGAAACTCAGTGCTTGGCATGAATTTTAAACCACCAGGTCTAGGACTTGAACTGTGGTCGTTTACATGGGAGTCTCAGCCATGTAACCATTATGCCATCTGCTGGTCCCACCTTTTGTTCTTAATAATAATATAAACATCTTTCCTTATCTGTCTGATGTATATATCTCTCCCATTTTAAATTAAAGACCATAGCTTATGTTTTTTAGAATTCTTTAATTTTATTTATAATTGTCCTTGCTGGTATTTTTTGTTTTTTGGTTTTTTTTGAGTTTTTTTTTTTTGCTATAGGTCACGTGCATTAGCCAGAGAGATGGAAAGCGAGAAATCACCCCCCTGGGGGATGGCCACGCTGCAATCCCTTCTCTTCCATTCTCCTCTCTAAATCTTGGGCATGCACACACATATGCCTGGTGTGAGTTTAAGTCACTGGGTCCATTCGCGTTTAAGCCATTTGAACTGTGGTCGACTACAGGAGAGTCTAGCGACATAGCCATTATCCCATCTGCTGGTCCCAATAATTATTATTTCTTAATTTGACCAGAGAGAGGCCAAGGGAAAGTGAGAAAGCAAACCACTGGTCTGGGACTCAAACCATGGTTGGCCATGAGGGAGTCCAGTGCCTTAACCACCATTGCACCTGCCAGCTCCAAAGGCTATAACTTTTTATCTTTCCCTGTCTGTATACATGGTGTTTGTGAGTACAGATATTGCATATGTATAGTCTATCTCCTTTCCTTTTTAAAGAGATTTTCCTATCGGGCTTGTGTGCTTCCCAGCGAGACAGACAGTGAGAAGTCACCCCTGCCCCCAGAGGGGATGGCTATGCCACAGCCCTTCTCCATTCTTCTCTCGGGATTTTGGGCATGCACTCACACACGCCCAGTGTGAGCTTCACGCCACCGGGTCCGAGACTTACACTGGGGTTGACCGTGTAGGAGTTCAGCGCTTTAACCACTACACCACTTGCTTGCCTCACTCATTTCTTATTACAGACTGAATACTATTCCATTATTTAAATGAGTCTTTTATTAACAGACAAATCTTTCTGGCTTTTTATTTTCAAAAACATGCTTCCAGGAACAACAGCATCTGAAATCTGAAAAAGTGTTGGTAGCTTTGATTTAATGATTCCTAGCTTTCAAATTTTGTTCTGGTCTTAATAATTAACCTATTGTGCTATTGTTTTTACTAATATAAATTTCAAGTGTTAGTGTGTAGATGATGTTTAAACATGTATAAATTTTGTTATGGAGAGTAGAAATGCAAACTGGTTATGCTTATAATGGATATTATAAAGAAAATTCTAAATACTTTTCTTATTTTATTAAGGTACTTAGCTAGAATATATGTTAGATTTTTGTTTCTTATTGTCTACACTAATGGTCTTTTTCATTATTTCATACTTGCATAGGCATCTTGATTTCTTACCTCATAATTACATATTTTTGGGGGGGTAAAGAGATTTTTGCTATAGTGTACGTGCACTCACTAGAGATACAGAGACAGAGAAAGTGAGAAATCCCCCCCAGGGGGGATGGCCATATCAATCTATTCTTCATTCTCCTCTTGGGATTTTGCGCATGTACACACATGCGCCTGATTTGAGTTTCAAGCAGCCGGGCCCAGGACTCAAACTCTGCTAGACCACATGGGAGTCTAGTGCCTTAACCACTATGCCACCTGCTGGCCCCGTAGTCACATCTTATGTTTTAATACTTAAGGGTACTTTTACCCATATAAACTTAAAAGAAAAAAGTTGTTTATTTATTGATTTATTTCTTGTGCTTTTCAAGCCAAAGAATCTGGGTCTCAAACCATGGTCATGTGGGAATGCAGCACCCTAATCACCACACTACTTGCTGATCCCCCTCATGGACTTTTTATTTATTTATTTATTTTTTTTGAGAGAGATTTTTGCTATAGGATGCGTGTACTCGCTGTGAAGATAGAGACAGAGTGACAGAAAGCAGGAAATCCCTGAAGGGATGATAGCCACACTGTAATCCCTTGTTCTCCATTTTCCTCTCAGGATTTTGGGCATGCATGCACATGTGCCTGGTGTGAGTTTTTTAAGCCACCAGGTTCAGGATTTGACCCGCATTTGACTACAAAGGAGTTCACTGATGTAACCATTATGCCATCTGCTGGTCTCTGGATTTTGTTTGTTTGTTTGTTTTAAATGATAAATGACACCATGCCACGCCACGCCACAGTCCCCTCTCCTCTATTCTCCTGGGGTTCTGGGCACACGTGGACATGTACCTAGCATGGCTTCAAGCTGCCACATCTGGAACTTGAACCACTGTGAACCATGTGGGAGTCCAGCGCTTTAACCATTACACCACCTGCCGCCCCCTCCGTGGACTTTTTAATGTCTTGATAATGGGTAAATACACCTGATTTTTCTTGGTAAAAATAGTATAAGCAAATAGTTCACAAAAGTATATTTTCTATAGTATATAGCCCCTCTAGTGATTATTATTAAAGGATAGGGAGTAAGTTTTGAATAATTTTTTGCATCTTTAATCTTCATCTGAGAACCTTAGAAGATTGTGTCTATGGAGTTTTTTGTGCAGTGAGTTAAAAACAGTTTCACAAAGTTTTGTCCATTTCTGATAGCCCATATGCAAGTACTTGTATTTATAAAATATATTGGATTGAACATATATATATCCTATGAGATTTACTTAATCTGACCTTCCTTGTATTGTCAGTTCTTATCACTCAACGTATCTGCGTTTGTGAATCTACCTTTTCCCTGAAATGTATCTGTAACTCCCATATCAGTACTGAGCTAACACTCTGTGGACATGCGTAGAGTGGTGAAACGGCTGTGTTGCCTAAAGAGTGTGCTCCCACCTGTGCTGATCAAGGTGACACTGGCCTTGTTATCTTCACCTCTCTTACTATAAACAAGTGTCCTCTTTGTGGTCTGTTTAGTGCTACTTTTTTGTGTGTGCATTTTTGAGAGAGAGAGAGAGAGAGAGAGAGAGAGAGAGAGAGAGATTTTGCTGTTTAAAATGACTGCCAAACAGTGGTAAAGTGCTTGAGTGCAAGAAGGCTGGGATGTGCTTTAGCAGGAGATATGTGTGTTGGGTAAGCTTTGCTTAAACACGAGTTACAGTGTTGTTGGCCCTTAGCTCACTGTTAATGAACAACATATCTATTTAATAGGTATCTTTTTAAGCAGAAACACACATGAAACAAAGCTGTGTTTTGATTGGTTGATGAAACTGTGGCTAGAGGCTCGCAGGCACCTAACCCTGTGTTTCCTCTACGAGCAGCAGTTCAGTTTTTGCTAATACAGTTTGTGGTGATTTTACAGACCATACTTCTGTAAATAACAGTCATAGACTGACTTTAATGTATACTTTGACTTGAATATCAATTTTGATGACTAAATCCATTGTTTGTGGTATATATTCACACAAAATCATTAAATGAATGGATTGAGTAAGATTGCTTGGTGGGGACCAGCAGTTAGCATAATGGCTATGTCGCTGGACTCCCATGTAGCTGACTGCAGTTTAAGTCCCAGACCTGGTGGCTTAAACT